AAATCCTGCAGCTCTGCTGCTGAAAGAGTCACTCACCGAAACCAGCCTGCGTGTTCCTGGGAAGCAGATTTCTGCTCACAGTCTGAGGACGGACATGCAGGCACTGCAGGAGGGCCAGAAAAGCTGGGCAAGAAAGGCACCATGCCTTTTCCCATCTGTCAGGACCTCAGGTCTGTAAATCAAATGACACTGGAGAACCTCGTGTCTCCAGGTTGAGCACATGTGTGTGCGTGCGTGCGTGTCTTCTCCGATGTCTAAGAGACAAGCCCGCCCTGCACTGGAAGCTTAAGAGTTAGTTAACATATTGAAATAGGTATTTCATTTAATAATCCTTTGCGAGAGCACTACTCCAAAGCGTCAGGGCAAAGTTGGGAGGCTTTAGGCTGCAGCCACATCACTTCCTGCAGGGGAAGTGAAAAAAAAAAATCACTGAGCAGCTGGGTTTCAGGTCCCCCACCATGTTGGGGTTTCTCTGTCTGTTGGGCAGCAACAGGAACAGCTACTCGCTGGGCACCAGGGCTGTGAACCCCAACTGTAGAGACCAATACAAGCATTTTGTTTGGTAGGGCTCAGCACTGCAAAGAAGCCTGAAACGAGAAAGGAATAATTTCCCCCCAGCAGCCCGGCATCAGCCTCCCCACACAGAGGTAGGGACTGCCGGCTTGGAGAGCCCTGCAGGCAGCCTGAGCTCCCACTCGAAGGCATCTATTCACCCGCAGCAGCGCTCGGGCAAAGTCAGCTCATCTCTCTTGAGTGCCCAAGTGCTTGATCTGCTCAGTTTGCCGGCAAGCTCCAGAGCAGTGCCTTGGCCAGCGGCCGGTGGGCTTCAGCGCGTAGAGCTCGGTGCCAGCCTTGAGCCTCCTGTGGACGCGCAGAAACTCTGGAGCCATCCTGGCCTCCAAATCAGGTGTAACCCCCCCACACCCAGTCCAGTTGCAACATAACCCCTGCTTCGTGTCGTATCCCAGTGTGGTGTCTAGGCTTGGAAACCCGGTTCCACTCAAGGAATCAAACACTAATGCCCTGAGAAAATAAGCAAGCTCTTGCCTGATAAGGCTAAAGGAAAGGTAAACAGGATCGTTTCTCCTTGAAGCGGGGAGAGGTAGACGTGATGCTGTGGAGCTGGAGGAAAGGACTGCTCCTTCCCCCCATGCTGGGGCAGCGGAGACACTGCCATCAGCTCTATACCATGTTTGAGGAGCGGCGAAGCCCCCGATACCTCCCCACTCCCCCAAACGTCATCGGAGGGTTGAGAAGCACAGAGGCACAGCAGCACAGGCTTTCCAGAGATGGCCAGGTTTGCGTGCACTCCCTGCTGCCACCCAGCACCCCGGGCTGCTGCTCCCACCATGCCCACCTTGCGCCCGCAGCCCGCCACGCCAGCTGCTGCACCCCTCGCCCTGGTCACAGCACCCTCAGCGGGGGAAAAGCAGGAGGCAGGACAGCGCTGGGCAGGACAGCATGCGGCTGGGACCAGGTTTGGGAGCCAGCAGAGGAGATTCGGGGGGACAAAGTAGTTGGCAGTGACACCCCGGGTGCATGTGGGCATGACCCTGTCCCACGCTCTGCTCACCTGCCAGCTGTGCCACGAGCAGGGCTCCTCACGTCCCTGCCCTGGCTCACACCACCCATGGGCTCTTCTCGCTATCGAGTGCTTGACGTACATGAAAAGAAGAGAGGAAGCTCTTCCTGACCCCATAAGAACCTGTTCACCACGTTTGTAACTAGCCGAGGGTTCTGTCTTGCTACAGGCTAAAGCACCTGCTGTACCTGCGTGACCTCCCTGCGGGGAGCAAGGCCTGGGACTCCCATCCTTGGGGGCTGCTGCCTCCTCCGGTGCTCTTCGCTTTGAAGCCCTTTGGGGAAATAAGGCTGGAGCCCCAGGAGGTTGTGGGGACCTTGCACCCCACATGCTACCCTAGCTAAGAGGAGCACTGGCACCGGCACAGGGCATGCTGGCTCTGCTGAAGGCTGCAGGGCGTCAGGCCTTTGGGTTTGGTGTCCCCGGGACGATACTGAGCTGCACACTGTGATTTGCTAGGAGGCGGCGTATCCAATTTTGTAGCCAGCACAGAGGGGCTGGGTAAGCCCCATCCCTCCAGAGACACATTGTGGCTTCCTCCTGCCGCCTGCTGTCAAATCCCCCTCCGCTCGCTCCGGGGCTCAGCATTTAAAGCACATCACGACGTGCATCCCCAGGTGGCTGCTGGAGAGGTGCTGCCTCTTGGACTGCAGCAGGTACCGCCGGTGGGAGCCACTCTCGTGCCCAAATGACGAAAGGTCCCCCAGGCAGCAAAGGCGCTCTGTTGCTTTGCATGTTCCCGGGAGAGCTGGCACTGGAGGCAATGACCAGGCAACCATTTCCTAATTGCTACCGGAAACAGGAAAAAGGTGCATTGACGTGGTGGTGTCAATGCACATGCCATTCCCGGGAACCTGCATGACTCATGCCATGAGACCCTACCCTTGTGCTTGTGGCTCGGGTTAGAAAGCAGCAAGGAAAGTGGGTCTCAAGAGGGGTCTGGAAACACAGGGAAGAGCCATCCAGACGTTGGAGCGGCTGCTTGGGGCTTGGGGACACGAGGACAGGGCTCTGCGATGGAGGATGCTTGCAGCAGGGTTCGCTCACCAGCAGCTGCTTGGCACTTCACCAAAAACCTTTTTTAAAGAGCTGAAGTCAGACACCAAAGTGATGAGACATGCACAGCTCATAACCGCAGAGCACGAGAGTGCCTGCGAGGCTGCAGCGTAGCGCAGGCTTTGGCTGCGCGCGGCGTGCTCGAAAGCCGGGCTCAAAGCCCCAGTGGGAAGGGCTTTTGTCCCTGCCGCGAGCAGCGAAGGCTGGGAAGGCAGAGGCACTTTCTTTCCTTTGTGTGTGAAACAAAGAGCAAGAACAAGCGGCTTCCTTCAGTCCCCCAAAACGGGCTGGCTTCTCCATGGAGCAGCATGAAAGGCAGAGGCGCCCTCCAAAGCGGCGAGGGCGGAAAGGGGTGCTCAGCTTGGCCGCCTGCCACCACGTTCAAAAGAGA